CAACCGAAATGGCAGCCTGTCCTATGACAGTCTGCTTAACCCTGGCTCTCCCAGTGGCCACGCCTGCCCGGCACACCCCTCTGTCAGCATGGCTGGCTATCACTCACCCTACCTGCACCCTGGGGTGGCGGGTGACCCACCGCGGCCCCCACCCCGTAGCTTCAGTCCCGTGCTGGGACCCCGGCCTCGGGAGCCCTCTCCTGTGCGCTATGACAACCTGTCGCGGACCATCATGGCCTCCATCCAGGAGCGCAAGGACAGGGAAGAGCGAGAGCGGCTGCTGCGCTCCCAGGCTGACTCTCTTTTTGGCGACTCTGGAGTCTATGACACGCCCAGCTCCTACAGCCTACAGCAGGCCAGTGTGCTGTCGGAGGGTCCCCGTGGCTCAGTGCTGCGCTATGGCTCCAGAGATGACCTGGTGTCTGGGCCTGGCTTTGGTGGTGCCCGCAACCCTGCCCTGCAGACATCACTGTCCTCTCTGTCCAGCTCTGTGAGCCGAGCACCTCGGACATCCTCTTCCTCCCTGCAGGCTGACCAGGCCAACAACAATGCCCCAGGGCCTCGGCCGGGCAGTGGCTCACACAGGTCACCTGCACGCCAGGGTCTGCCCTCCCCACCAGGCACTCCCTGCTCACCCCCTTACTCGGGTCCCAAAGCTGTCGCCTTCATCCACACGGACCTCCCGGAACGGCCACCCACGCTGGCTGTGCAAAGGTGGGTGCTTGTTGGTATGGGTGGGCCTCCCTGTGCAGGACAGCCAACCAGCCATCTCTTGGCCTGGTACCCATGTGTCCTGAAGACCTATGGTTATGGGGACAGAGTGGGGTTATCCTGCCCTGAGGGCCCCTAGTTGCCCTGGATAGGGGTGATCTGCCTCTGGGTACACTAAATATGGGAGAGGCAGAGCATATAAAAGGGCCTTGGGGTATCTTCCTTGGGAGTTGGTTCCATATGAAATGTAGGCCTCCTTTGGACATCTGACTGTATGCTACTTCAGGAGGCTGGGGCTGAGGGCACCATCTTAATGAAAAAATCTACCATACAGAGTCCCAGGAAGTAGGGGCCTCCCTCCTGCTTATGGATGGGGTGGGCTGGTAACCGGCTACTCACAGGCCAGGTCCAAGTGGGAAAGCTGAGCTCATGAATAGGATGTGGCATTGTCACAGCATTGTCCTGGCTCTGCCCCAGTCAGGCCCCAGCCACCGAGTACAGTCATAAAGCTTCAGCAGGGATCTCTGTCCGGGTTACTTAGCCACAAAGGGGTCCGGGGGCACAGCTGCAAATGGTGTGGCTCTTGAGTAAGGCTTCCCCACCCTATACTCTCTTCAATTTTTTTTGGAGTGTGGGGGGGAGTCAAGGAAGGGGCAGCCAAGGGAATAAAGGGGCCCCTCCTTCTTAGTCAGTGCTGGCCAGGTCAGAAGGCAGGATGGAAGCCCTTTATTTTCCTTAAAAAATGTACTATGCAGGGTCATCCTCGGGCTTCCCAGCTCAGGACATCAGGATGGAATAGCAGTACCTTAGGGCTCTGCCAGTATCAGCTGAGGGGGATTGAGGGTCCCAGGAAGATGACAGTGGTGAGGACACAGCTGTCCGATGACAGCAGGGACTGCCCGGGATCCAGGACACAGGGCTCCCATCCACGTCTGTGTGCGTCCTGTTGCCCACCATCTTGTGTTCACTGTGGGCACGTGTATATGTGCTTATTTTAATGCAGGGACCACCCTCAGCTGAAGACCCCCCCAAGTAAGCTTAATGGGCAGTCCCCAGGCCTGGCCCGCCTGGGGCCTGCTGCTGGCCCCGTGGGGCCCTCCGCCAGCCCTGCCCGGCACACGCTGGTTAAGAAGGTGTCCGGCGTGGGTGGGACTACGTACGAGATCTCCGTGTGAGAACGGACTGCCACTCATTCACCATGGCGCCCCGGGGATCAGAAACCCCACGGCTGCTTCCCCCATCCCCACCGACTTCTCTGCCCCAGGGAGATGAGGCTGCCCACGCCTGGTGTGGATGCATCAGCAGGAGAGCGCGCCCTGCCTCCACAAGCCTGTTGCTATGCCCTGGACCTAGCCACCCACTCATCTGCTCATGGGACACACAGGTTCCCAGGCGAGGCTATGGGTCCGTGCCACTGCTGGCGCACTGACGGGGGACCCCGACTGCTTCCTCCATCAGCCAAGCTCAACTCTGCCACCCATCACCCCACCCTTGTCTCTCCCCAGACCCACAGCCCCATGATCCACCACTCCCCCTTACAGAGCTGAACCTCTGACACCCTGCTGTCCCAGCTGTTCCTAATGCATTGCCTTTCACTGATCTGGCTGGAAGCTTGTAGTTTGGCAAGGTCGATGCTTCTGCAGGGGGTGTAGCCCTTACCTGCTCTGGGTTATGACAGATGGGTAGACAGACAGACATCCAACTCTGGCAGGAGTCCTAGCTCCATGGTGTCCAGTCTTGCCCGGCCGCTGGGTTTGTGTCCCCGTGTCTGTGTGCTGTGCTGCTGTGCCATGTGTTAGCGCTCGGCCAATGCTGTCCATTTCATCGAAGCCTTAACTTCTGCTTTTATGCTCTTGTGGGAGGCCATGGGTGGCAGGTGGGAGCAGGCATGGGTGCCCTATGGCTGCCCCCCCCGGGGGATGGAAAGACCTGGAGCCCCTTCTCAAGCCCTCAGGCCCTCCCTGCCAAACTGGAGAATCCTTACCCCCAAGGCATTCAAAGGCCCTGGCCCTGCCCCGGCCAGTGCCATGCGGAAAGCACATCGGGGAGGGGGGTCAGTGCTCCCCCTCACGTCAGGGACCTGAGTAAGCACATGGCAGCGTCCGCTTGCGTTGTGTCTGTTTTATGTTTTTATATTTACATCTATATATCTATAATTTTATTAAAAAAAGAAAAAGAGTCACTTTCCTTTCCTTGGGCAAGGCCAGGGCTGTGGGTCCAGGGCCCCAGGGAGCAGAGGGAGGGTCTCAGGCAGGGTGGATAGACTGGCACGGGGCAGTGCATTCTTCAGGGAGAGGACTCGGGCAGTGGGGCTGGTGGTGGGTCTTCAGCTGGTGAGTATAAGGGGCTCTTGGTAGTTAAGTATTTAGGGAAACTGAGGCTGCAGCTGCCCCAAGTGGTCCCCAGGATACCAGGGGTATGACATGGGACCTCCAGCTGGCTAGGGGCCCTGTAGGAAATTGCTGTAATGACTGCCATATGCTACTGACAGGATTGGGATATGGCAGGGCTTGGACAGCTTGGGCAGGATCTGGGAGGCTGGGGTGGGCATGGGTGGCTCAGGGAGGGGGTGTCTCAGATGGTCCCACAACCCTACCCCACTCCCACCCTGACCTCCACTTTTCTGCTTCTCTCTCACGGACGCCGCGGCCCACAGAGGGCGAATTGGCACCTGTAGCCATGGATGGGGGTGGCGTGGCCAGCCCAGGGGGACCCCTGGCCTGCACCTGTGCCACCTTGGCCGTCCTGAGGACCGCCCGTCACTGCGGGCCCCTTGGAACCAAGCTGCTGGGGCACCCCCTCGCGGGACCATGTGCCGTCTGCATTCGGCTGCGTCCAGCCTCTTCCCCAGCCTCTCAGGGCCCTAGTGGGATGCCAAGTAGGCAGCTCTGGGACCCTGTAACAGCCCAGCTGAGACCCAGGAAACCAGACTGCTTTGGACCCTGGGTTGAGGCTGAGGGGGTCCCCTCTCCACCAGCCACATCTTGACTGACCCCACCCTGCCAGGGCCTGTGACCCTGTGTCCAAGAGACCTCAGGAAGTCCCCCACCTGCTGCAGGGCTCCAATGCCCCCATTTGGGGTGGCCCTAGAGTTGTTGGGACCAGCAGGATTCTTGCTCCAGCCTTCCTTCCCCTCTTAGCACTTTAAATTAAGCCACTTCTTCCTGGGGAGCCCAGGCCTCTGTGGGCAGAGCGGGGATGGGGGGCCTCAGGTCACCCCTGCAGGTTACTGCACTGCCCCAAACCTGTCCCCAGCACATGAACAGATGCCTTAACTTCCTGGAGCTGTCAGCCAGTAGGATGAGCCTGACCTGCCCAGCCAGCTCTGCCCCTTGTCTGCCCACCGGCTCCTATCCCTGCCTCTGCCCTGCTCTGGCTCCACCTGAGCTGTTTGCATCCAGGACAAGGCCTAGCTCAAAGGGCTGGGCCTGCCAACCCTGAATGCCCCAGGACAGAGCAGGACAGAGTCCTGCCAGCCCTCTCTCCTGCACAGGGCCCCTGTCCCAGGGTCCACCCTGAGCAGCAACTCTTTATTTCTCCCATTTCGGGACAAGAAAGCCACAATGCTTTTCTCTATTCCAAAAGGTACCCCCTTCCCTCAATTTAATTTCCCCAATAAAATTTTTGGTGTTTACTTCCATTGCTCTGTCCATGGGGTCGGAGGGGGGGCTTGTTTGAGCCTTGGGCTGTGGCAGGAGGCTGGACTGGACAGGGACCCTGGGTGGAGACAGCCCAGGTGGGTGGCAAAGGTACAGAGCAGGATATGTGAGGGTCATGAGGTCAGTGAGCTAGCTAATTCAGGGTCCCAAGGTCCCTGGGAAAGGTTGGTCCTGGGGGTGAGAATGAAGGACTCTGCACCTTACTTTCCAAGGAAAGCCTCTTTTGATACCCTCAGGGGCCCGTTTCAGAGCGCTATTCATGCCAGACAGATAGGGAAAACTAGATTCAGGAAAGCCAGCTGAATGTTGGGGCTGAGATGGGGGTCCCACCCCGAGAGACCCCCCCCCCCTCCACACCAGATCAAATCATGGTATTAACAGCATCAAAACCTCTACCCCCTCCTCGTTTCCATGGAAACAATTTCAAATGCCAAGCTGTCATGACTATATGTCCAGCTGTAGGCCCAGCCCTCAGGACAGACCCCACTTCCACCCTTCTCCGCAGCTCCTGGCGGGGATGGTGTGCAGCAGTACTGTGGGCAAGGGCGAGCAGAGCCACTGGGCACCTGGGACAGCGCCGTCCACCTGGCCTCTTCCTCGCTGGGGCTGTGGGGCTACTGGGCCTCCGGCCTAGAACGGCAGGAAGTCATCCACTTCGAGGTGCAGGAAGGGGCCCAGCAGGGCCCGGAGTTTCCAGACAGCAGCTCTGCTCAGCAAGGGCGGTACCAGCCCCTCGAAGGGTGTGGGGTCCACCACGTACACGTAAGCAGCAGTGCAGGCCAGCAGGGCGCCCAGCAGCAGCCTCAGGGCCAGCAGCCTGCGGGTGGTGGTGGTCAGGGGACAGGGGGTGCCCGCAGGGACGGTCCAGGGGAGACTGGGCTCTGCCTGCAAGGTGACCTACCAGATCTGGCCCTTGACACCCTCGGAACATCCCAGCTTCGGTTTCTTTTTCTGTTGGGGAGGGGGCTGCGTCAGAGACTTTCCCTGAGGGCCACGGCAGAGGGTGGAGACTCTTGCTTCTGGGGTACCCACGATGGACAGGGATTCTAGCCATACCCACATCCCTGATTCCCAGGGAGAGCTTTCTGTATCCACTGCCCTCTTTGGGGGGCTCTGTCTCTGGGGGCCTTCTCTCTGGAGTCCATTCACCTGCATCCCCCTTGGCAATGCCCCCAGATCTCCAGCCTGGAAGGGGTGTGGGGTGTGGGCTCACCGCTGTGCATGCTTTTTGCTGCTCCTTCCTGGCCTGAGAGCGGCACTGGGCCCTCTCCCTGGGGAACCACACAATCAGAACCAGATAACCCTCATCCTTAGTCTGGGGTATGCCCTTAATATGGCAACTGGGAGGGGTGGGGTTGGGCCCACACCACCCCCTCCTGGCTCATCCCGGCCTCAGGTCCCCACATCACCCCAGAATCTCTAGCTGAATGTCCTCCATCTGATCTAGCACACCCCGAATGTCCTTCTTGAGGTTCTGTGGGCAGAGGGATGTGAGATAACACCTCCACCCCAACCACCCTGTCCCTCCTCCCACCTCTCACTGCCGCCACCCCTCCTGCCCTGCCCCCTTGGCCTCCTGGGTATCAATTTTGGGGGGACCTACCAGGAGTCCGGTGGCCTGATTGTTCAGGGCCATGTGTACTTCAGCCACACCATCCCAAACCTGGCAGCAGGGAGGCTGGGTCATATTGGAGAAGCAGGACCCACTAGAGGCTCCCCTGACCCACCCCCAGGCCAGGTGGGCACCTCAGTAATAGCCATCTTCTTCCTCTCAAAGGACAGTCGAATCTGTTGCAGTTCATTCTGTGTGGGGAGGGGGTTTAGTATGGGCACAAGGAACCCCGATCCCAGGCCCAGCTCCTTCCACCAAGGCCCACCTGGGACTGCTGTACGAAAGCCTCTTCACCCCGACAGAGCTCCTGCCGTACTAGCTGCACAGGTCCCCTCTCTTCCAGGGACCGGGAGCTGATTGCTTCTGGAGACTGTTGGGAGAGCCCCTCAAATCAGCTCAAGGCTGTGCCTAGGCTGCCTGGGGTGTGTGTAGTTATGTGGGGCCCCAGCGTGGCAGGCAGTGACTTACCCAGGTCACAGCTGTGCAGCTGGAATGTGTACACAGGGGCAGGAACTGGGGCCCTGGCGCCAGGAGAGCCCCCAGCTGCTCGCGAAGATCTTGGTTCTGCCTTTTCTGGGGTTGGGAGGCAGAGAAATGGGCCCACCTCTCAGGAACTATTGTCAGGCTAGAAACAGGCTGGGGCGAAGGGAGCAGCCTGGAGCCTATCTGGGGGGGGTACTCACCAAGCTATGGTTCTCTTGTGCCAACTGGCGGAAGGATTGTTCTGCAGCTTCCAGCGGTCCATTCTGGTGCTTTGAGGAGCCTGCCCTGGACAAGGCTGGGGTCCCTCCTCCAGGTGGTAGGGGTGGTGGGCATGGGGCAGGTCTGGGTCCTAAGGTGGAAGGTCCCCCATGCCTAGGGGCCTCCTGTTCTCGCTCTGAGTGTGGATGCCAGCTCCTCCCCAACCCCGTCTCTGCCTCTCCTTGTCTCGGCCCTGACAGCTCTCTCCCTCTCTGCTGCTGCCTCTCTCCTTCTTCTTTTTCGAGAAAGATCTCTGATCCTTTGAACCCCACCCTGTAGCCCCCACCATTGGCCCCTGGAGCTGGGAAAGGCCTTGCAGTCTCCACTGATTGAACAGAGGGAATGGGGAGCAGGCAGGGCCACCTTACACATCCCTGGCATGGCTGGTCCAGGCATCCTCCATGGCTGTTCGAGGCTGGGGCTGGGGGACATTGAGGGTGGGAGTAGACACAGGGACTCAGTGATTTTGGCCCCTCCATTTCTCCCTGTGACCCCCAATCCAGGCTGCAGCCTGGCTGACTTGCCACTCTCTTTGAGGGCAGTTTGGATGTCTTGCTGGCTCACAAGCCCGCTCTGGTGGGGATGGTCATAAAGGCCTGAGTGCAGCTGGGGAGGTCACAATGGGAGGGGCTGGGGTGAGAGGCAGGCCCCTCCCGCCTCACTGACCCTGAGCCCCTTTAACCATGTCCCCATCTCTCCCCCTTCCTTCCTTTCTTTTCTGAGAGGGGGTGGGGTGGGGAATATGTATGTGTGTATCTTGGGGCTTGAACTCAGGGTCAGAGCACTGTCCTTTAGCTTTTTTTTTTTTTTTTTTATGGCTTTAGCCATAGCCTCATGTACGGCTTTTTGGGTGATTCATTGGAGATCAAGTGTCTCATGCCCAGGTTGGCTTTGAACTTCGATCCTCAACTCTCAGTCTCCTGAGTAGGTAAGATTACAGGCGTGAGCCACTGGAGCCCTGCTGTGGAGGAACATTCTTTGCAAACAAGAAACCAAGTATGATAGGAGTGGCCTCTGACTTGGTCTCCTCCAGGGTTCTGGCCCATGGGCATTGTCTCCAGCTGCTGAAAAGTGAATGAGAAGATCCAGTCAGACCTGATCTAGAACCTGTGGCCAAGGCTAGTCAAGTCACAAACCCACAAGCCACTGAACTCTGAGCTAAATCATAATAGTTTGCACTGTAAAGCTTTGGAATGTTCTGGAATAGATAAGGAGAAACTTGTGGGCCTGGAAGCTTCTTATTCCAACTTTTCACTGGCTGGGTATTAGGCTGAGGAGAAAGTCAGGTTGGAGAGTGTCCTTTGCCTCCTACCCCAGGAAGTTTTTGTTTGTTTGCCTTAAAATTTTTTTTTTTTTGTAGCCGGGCACTGGTGGTTCATGCCTGTAATCCTAGCTACTCAGGAGGCTGAGCTCTGAGGATTGTGGTTCAAAGCCAGCCTGAGCAGGAAAGTCTGTGAGACAGATTTCCAATAAACCACCAGAAAACCAGAAGTGGCGCTGTGGCTAGAGTGCTAGAGAGCTAGCCTAGAACTGAAGAGCTGAGGGACAGTGCCCAAGCCCAGAGTTCAAGGCCCAGGACTGAAAAAAAAAATTGTGCTGATAATAGGGCCTCATGATCTTGCTAGTTAGGCTGATGCTCTATCACCTTGAGCCACATTTCTAGCTTTTTATTGGTTAATTCGAGATAGTCTTGGATTTGTTGAATCTCAGCTCTCAGCCTTCTAAGTAGTTAGAATTGTAGGTGTGAGCCCCTGGCACCTTTGCTTACAAGAGAGATTTTTATTGATTGATTGGTTAATTGGTGTTAGTAGTGGGACTTGAATTTAGGGCCTCTCAAACTCAGAGGGCTTTTTAGCGTAAGTCTGGCACTCTACCACTTGAGCTATACCTCTACTTTTAGCTTTTTGCTGGTTGATGGAAGATAAGAGTCTCTGGGGTTTATTCGCCCAGGCTGGCTTCAACCCATGATCCTCAGATCTCAGCATTCTGAGTAGCAAGGATTGAAAGGATGAGCCACCAGTGACTGACCCAACCTAGTTTGAGGGCAGGAGAGGAGTTTCTTAGGACTCCATGAGCCTTCTCTGACCACAGGGGCCTTGGATTTCATGCTGACACAGGGTGTCTTGTTGGTTAATGTGCAAGCCACCTGATGGGTATATTATACTTATTTTCAGTGCTGAGGATGGAACCCAGGGTTTTGAGGATGCAAACCAGGTATTCTATTGAGTGATATGCCCCATGGCCTGGTGTTTTGAGAAGCAGTATTTCACTGTTTCACTGATAAAAATCTTTGCAGCTTTTCTGGCTTGTTTTGAATTCCCAGTTGTCACATGGGCTTTTGGGGTTATTATGCATTCTTACCCTTTCCCCACTCCTTTTTTTTTGTTTGTTTTCTAAATGTCTTTGTCACTGGTAAGAAGATTTTCTTGGATCTTAACTCTCATTCTATATGTATATGTGTTGCTTAATGACAAGGACAGCTCTGAGAAATTTATTCAGCAATTTGATGGCTGTATAAGTGTCATGCAGTGTGCCTGTACAAGTCTAAATGGGAAAGCCTCCTGCATACCTAGGCTACATGATCCCAAAATGTAGTAGAGTCCATGATTGCACTAGGGTAATGATTTATAAGCCAACACAAGATTAAACACAGGAGAAAATGGGGCAATCAAAGGCACAATAAACATGAGACATTTGAGGGATGCTGCTGGCAGAGCTCAGCAAAATGTTTTACAATAAATTCTCTCTCTCTCACACATCTATCTACCATCTACTAACTATCTCTCTCTATATATCTATAAAACACTTAAAATAATAACAAGTGGAGCGTTGGTGGCTCATGTCTGTAATCCTAGCTGTTTAGGAAGTTGAGATATGAGGATCTCAGTTCAGACCGGCAACAGCAGAAACATCTGTGAGCCTTTTATCTCCAATTAACCAGCAAAAAGCTGGAAATGGAGCTATGGCTCAAGTAGTAGAGTACTGGCCTTCAACACCACCACCACCAACAAAACTAAAGGAGAGTTCCCAAGTCCTGAGTTCAAGTCCCAATACTGGCACACAAAAATAAGTAGATAAATAAAACAAAAAAGTATAGTAATTGAATAAACCAGCAAACATAATAATTTATTGTTATTATTATTGACATAATTGTGTATATTGCGTACACCTGATCAGCGAGGGTTTTTGTTTTCTGGGGGCCTAGGCATTGAGCCCTAGGAACTGTCCCTGAGCTGCTTTTGTTCAAAGCTAATGTTCTATCACTTGAGCCACAGATCCATTTTTTTTTTAGGCTAATGGGAGATGAGTCTTATAGAATTTTTTGCCCGAGCTGGCTCTGAACTGCAATCCATAGATCTCAGCTTCCCAAGTAGCTAGGATTACAGGTATGATTGTAATCCAGGATTGCAGCTGGCACCTGGCTGCAAACCACTAGGTTTGTGAACACCAGCTGCACCACCAACGTGAGAAGTGATGTCATGATGGTGATGACACTGATGTAGATACCAGTTCTATTATAGTCTTTTTTTTTCACTCTCCAGTGGTGAGGATGGAACCCAGGGCTTTGCCATGCTAGATAAACATTTTACACTGAGCCCTCTACACTTCCAGCCACTCCTTTACAATCTCTTGGAGCCACCATGCTTTATGTGCACTATGGATGATCATAATGCGTTTAGACACCACTTGGCTGTTTACCTGTGTTTTTAAAATGCTCTTTGCAAGTCCATCATGAGGCTTGAACTCAGGCCCGGGGCACTATCCCTGAGCTTTTTAGCTCAAGGCTAGCTTTCTACCACTTGAGCCACAGCTCTACTTCTGGGTTTTTGGGTGGTTAATTGGAGATAGGATTCTCATAGACTTTCCTTCCTGGGCTGGCTTTGAACCACCATCCTCAGATCTCAGCCTACTGAATAGCTGGGACTACAGGCGTGAGCCACCAGCTCACTTTAGATATTTTTCTGCTTTCTTCCTGGCTGAGATCTGGGGAGCCTCCCTTCTCAGCTGGAAACCCCACATTCCCTGGCCACTCTGCCTTTCTTCGAACTGTGACCTGCCTGGAAGGCTGGCTTATCTCAGAGCCAGCCCCAAAGATGCCTTCTTGCCGAAGTCTTCCTTACCCTGTCCCTGTGGTCCTTGCAGTATGGCCTCGAGGTTCAGAACATCTTGTGAGATGTGTGTGTGTGTGTGTGTGTGTGTGTGTGTTTGTGTGGTGGAAGGACTTCCAGAGGAATTGAGGAGCCCCATATCTGCAATCATGGGTTTTCTACTCACAGGCTCAGATATGTAAATATATGCTGCGATCTCTGCAGATCTGTAGCCTGGATTGGGGTGAGAACGCATTGTGTTACGACACTGCCTAGATACTGGAACTCCCAACCACATAGGTGGAAAGCATGGCCAGCCA